AGGTTCCCGCAGCTTGTGGGGTTCGTGCTTGTGAGGGACGCACGGGGCGCTGGTAAGATAGTGCGAGTATTGCACTTTCGATGAGCACCCTCACGAGCACCCCGCAGGTTAGGGAACCGGGGCGACACCAGCAATCCATCTTTCTGGCTGTCGGTGGGTGTGCCTTCCACCTGGTCTGGCCGCGGGCAGCGAGTTGCATTCCCATCCGTTTATGGCTGTCGGTGGGGTGCCATCCACCTTGTCAAAGGCCCCTTAAAGGGGGCGGAGGGGGATGTGGGACCCAGGCCCCGTCGCGTCGTTGTCCATGGCTGTCGGTGGGTGGGCCTTCCACCGTTCTGGACCCAGGAGGGACTCCACGCGTGGGGCGCCCGGGGCGGTGCTCGGGGAGGTGCCCAAGGGTGCACCCACTGTGGTGCCCAAGGTGGTGCACAGGCCCATTGGGGGGGGACCCTAGGTGGCGCCCGAGGTACCCAGGGAGGTACCCGAGGTGCCCGTTGGTTTCATACACATGCTTATTGGGCGGAGTACCCGTGGCACCCATGGAGGCAACCGAGGTACCCAGGGAGGTACCCGAGGTGCCCAAATTGACGCCACGCACATGCTTATAGGGAGGGGTACCCGAGGGACCCAAGGAGGCACCCGAGGTACCCAGGGAGGTACCCGAGGTGCCCAATGGCTGTCATGCACATGCTTAGTTGTCATGCACATGCTTATTGGGAGTGGTACCCGAGGTACTCAAGGAGGCACCCGAGGTACCCAGGGAGGTACCCGAGGTGCCCAAGTGTTGTCATGCACATGCTTATTGGGAGGGGTACCCGAGGGACCCAATACCCAAGGTGCCCAATAGTTGTCATGCACATGCTTATTGGGAGTGGTACCCGAGGTACCCAAGGAGGCACCCGAGGTACCCAGGGAGGTACCCGAGATGCCCAAGTGTTGTCATGCACATGCTTATTGGGAGTGGTACCCGAGGGACCCAATACCCAAGGTGCTCAATAGTTGTCATGCACATGCTTATTGGGAGTGGTACCCGAGGTACCCAAGGAGGCACCCGAGGTACCCAGGGAGGTACCCGAGGTGCCCAAGTGTTGTCATACACATGCTTATTGGAAGGGGTACCCGAGGGACCCAAGGAGGCACCCGAGGTACCCAGGGAGGTACCCGAGGTGCCCAATGGCTGCCATGCACATGCTTAGTTGTCATGCACATGCTTATTGGGAGTGGTACCCACCGAGGTACCCAAGGAGGCCACCCGAGTACCCAGGGAGGTATCCCGAGGTGCCCACGTGTTGTCATGCACAAGCATATTGGGAGGGGTACCCGAGGCCCCACTACCTCAAGGTGCTCAATAGTTGTCAATCACATGCATATTGGGAGTGGTACCCAGGTACCCAATGAGCACCCGAGGAACCCCAGGAGAAACCCGAGGGGTGCCCAAGTGTAGTCATGCACATGCTATTGGTGGGGGTACCCGAGGGACCCAATACCCAAGGTGCTCAATAGTTGTCATGCACATGCATATTGGGAGTGGTACCCGAGGTACCCAAGGAGGCACCCGAGGTACCCAGGGAGGTACCCGAGGTGCCCAATTGTTGTCATGCACATGCTTATTGGGAGGGGTACCCGAGGGACCCAAGGAGGCACCCGAGGTACCCAGGGAGGTACCCGAGGTGCCCAATGGCTGTCATGCACATGCTTAGTTGTCATGCACATGCTTATTGGGAGTGGTACCAGAGGTACCCGAGGAGGCACCCGAGGTACCCAGGGAGGTACCCGAGGTGCCCAAGTGTGTCATGCACATGCTTATTGGGAGGGGTACCCGAGGGACCCAATACCCAAGGTGCTCAATAGTTGTCATGCACATGCTTATTGGGAGTGGTACCCGAGGTACCCAAGGAGGCACCCGAGGTACCCAGGGAGGTACCCGAGGTGCCCAAGTGTTGTCATCACATGCTTATTGGGAGGGGTACCCGAGGGACCCAATACCCAAGGTGCTCAATAGTTGTCATGCACATGCTTATTGGGAGTGGTACCCGAGGTACCCAAGGAGGCACCCGAGGTACCCAGGGAGGTACCCGAGGTGCCCAATTGTTGTCTTGCACATGCTTATTGGGAGGGGTGCCCGAGGGACCCAAGGAGGCACCCGAGGTACCCAGGGAGGTACCCGAGGTGCCCAATGGATGTCATGCACATGCTTAGTTGTCATGCACATGCTTATTGGGAGTGGTACCCGAGGTACCCAAGGAGGCACCCGAGGTACCCAGGGAGGTACCCGAGGTGCCCAAGTGTTGTCATGCACATGATTATTGGGAGGGGTACCCGAGGGACCCAATACCCAAGGTGCTCAATAGTTGTCATGCACATGCTTATTGGGAGTGGTAGCCGAGGTACCCAAGGAGGCACCCGAGGTACCCAGGGAGGTACCCGAGGTGCCCAATTGTTGTCATGCACATGCTTATTGGGAGGGGTACCCGAGGGACCCAAGGAGGCACCCGAGGTACCCAGGGAGGTACCCGAGGTGCCCAATTGTTGTCCGGCTGCCGGCGACCGGCGACCGGCGACCGGCTGGCCGGCGACCAGCGTCCGGCGCCCGGCGACCGGCGGCCCCATGCGGGGGACCGGCTTCCTCCTCCTCCTCCTCCTCCTCCTTTCGGGTCGTCCGTCGGCCTGTCGGCCGCGCTTCGGCGCATGCACCCATACCCTTACCCTTACCCTCCGCCTCCCTCCTACCCTCCCTCCTCCCCCCTCCCTTCCCTCCTCCCTCCTTCCTCCTCCCCTCCTCCCTCCTCCCTATAGCCTCCCTCCCTTCCCCCTCCCTCCTCCCTCCATCCTTACCTCCCTCCTCCCTCCCTCTCCTCCTCCCTCCTCCCTCCCCCCCCTCCTCCCTCTCACTCCCTCCCTCCTCCCCACCTCCCTCCTCCCTCCTCCCTCCCTATCCCTCCCTCCATCCCTCCTCCCTCCCTCCGCTCCTCCTACATCCTCCCTCCTGACCCTCCTCCTCCTCCTCCTCCTCCTCCTCTCCCTCCTCCTCCTCCCCCTCTCTCCTCCTCCCCCTCCTCCTCCTCCTCCTCCTCCGCCTCCTCCTCATCTTTCTCATTACGTTTGCCGGCACCCGCCGGCCTCCCGCCGGCTTCCGCCGAGGGCGAGATGCTCCGAAGGCGAGGCTCTAGATAGATGTTTTGTTCCACCGCAGTAGGCGCAACAAGCCAGCGCCAGAACGCACGCGCCCGTCTTCGACATGATGGTGTGCTCTTTGAGGGCTCCACCGAGAATATAATTTTAGCCGCTGGGCTAGAACGGGATTGCAGACAAGTCAGTCGCTAGAATACACGGCGGCCATCCCATGCAGAATCAAGTCTAAGGAAAATCGGCCACTGGGATGCGTAAGCTTTTCAAGCACGTCAGCATTCCCACGTTTATGGGAGGGGTGCTCTTCCCAGTGGGTTCGCAATGTGTTGGACTGCGTGTGGTCGCTCGCATTCCAGGGAAGGCAGAGATGGCATACTCCTCGCGTACTCCGACGGAGGCAGAGAAGGAAAACTGCTGCATTCCTGGTAACACCAAAGCTCCGCACGACTCCAAAGCAAACGCCCCAAACAATGTTGCATGTACCAGGCTCATGCTTGCGGTTCCTGAGAGATTTACTGGTAAACTACTCAGGAAGGCGGCCCCCGCACTTTTTGTGATTCGCCAGGGTGTGGAGCAAACGGGAAGCTGCGACAACTTAGCTCGGATGGTCGAGAAGCTTAGGCACACATGATGGTTTGTACAAACCCATGCCACATTGTGAAAAAAACGAACGCCAGCGGATGAGCCAGTAACACCACACATGTTGACTGGATCATTACGCCGCGCCTGTTCGGAGACGAGCACTGGACGAGGGAAAAACGCAAAGGGAACACGTCGTAAGCAGGGAACTCGCTGCCAACGCAAACTTACGAACGCTAGACGCCACGGTGACATTACAGCATGCCCCCGAACACTCCATCCACCGCCGAGCCCGCCGCGTTCCCTGGGCGGGCCACTCGAACGGCGTGGACGCGTTCGCCTCCGCCGCGAACCTCCACCTCACTATCCGATAAACTCGGTCCCGCAGTCAAGGTCCTGCTTCCCGACGAGCATCGTGGCAAGCGCGCCGGGCAGGTTCGGGTCGCCCCCGCCCTCAACCTCGATGCGGGGGGGTGGAGTGACGCAGCTCGGGCCAGAGCTGCCGAACGAGCTGTGCCTCGTCGGCTGCGTAGCAGCTACTGAACGCAGCTGCTTGGTCAAGATCTCCAGAGCCTCGTGCATCCACATGAGCTCCTTGTGCAGCACTGCAACGTCCACCCTCTTGGCCTCGCCACGAAGCTTCAGACAGCCGAACATGAACTCCTCGGAGTTGATGGTCCCAGACTTGTCGCTATCCAGGAGGTGGAACAACTTACCCACCTGGTCGGAGTCCACGCCCAGCTGGCTGAAGTAGGCGCCGATCTCGGGCTCCTTCATGCGCCTCCGCATCTGCTCCTGTGAAACTGCACCAGTGTTGTCAGCATCGAGCTCATCGAACACCTTCCTCATGGCGGTGAGGTAGTCCCTCGTCTCAATGAGCTCGCTCTGCACTGCCAGGCCACGGTCGGCCTTGCACCGCAGCGAGGTGCTCTCGAACATCACGGCCGTGACAACGTTCAGCAGGGAGAGGAGGGAGAAGCCGATGAACAGCAGAAGAAGGCCCCGAAACTCCCAGCCGAGCGTGCCCAGGCTCTGCCAGAGCACCTCCCAGTCGACACCGCCGGAGATCACCTGGAATTAGGTCGTGCGCGCCCTCCCACAGGTGGATTCCGGACGAAAACTAAAAATCCAAAATGCCCCCCCCAAAAATACCACCAAAAAATACCCCAAAAAAAGCAGGAATACAAAAAACAAAAAGTCGCCCTCCGACGATGTTTTGACTCTTGCTGGTTACTCCTCCTGTAGAGCCAGGGGCACGCCCGACTCACCACCTGGAAAAGCGTCAGAACGGCGTCGAACAGCGAGCCGAACCGCGCCCGCAGGGGCGCCGCCTGCTCCTCCGGCACCTCGCCCGCGGGCGGCCCGTGCTGCGTCAGGAAGGCCAGCGCCCCCTCGGAGAGCACGGTGCCGAAGATGAGCAGGATCATGAAGACCAGCAGGCTGGACCACACCTGAGGGGCACCGCTAGGGTTCAGTCGGGCCTGTCCCCCTACAGGGGGAGTTTCGACGAAACACATAAAATACCCCAGAAATGCCCCAAAAAGGTAAAAAAATACTCCAAAAATAGTCCCCAGACTGTTTTGGGACAATTTTTGTATTATTTGTCGGGTTATTTTTTTTTTTCGTCGACAATCCCCCTGTAGGGGGACAGGCCCGACTTAACGCTAGGGGGGGGGATGGGTAGGCATAGGGGGGGAAGCATCGACCTGGCATCGGCGAAGCGTCGCCGAGATCGGCGATGATGGGCCCCCGACAGTGCATCCGCACCTGCCTGGGCAGGTTGGGGCTCTCGGGCCCCTATCGGCGATCAGTGCGCGATTGGGGGGTCGCTGCATCCCCTCCTACGCCTGTCGGCCCCCCCCTATCGCTGCCCCCCGGACACCAGGGACTTCATCGCTCCCGTGAGCGAGAGGACCATGATCCTCAGCTCCCGGAAGGAGCGGTGCTGGCGGATCACGTCGGTCACCACCACGAGCGACAACACCCTCGCCAGGCGCAGGGCGGAGAGCATCGCGAGCGCGACCCTGAACTTCGAGCCGGACCTCTGGTGCCGGTGCGAGTGTTGGCCGATGACCTGAAGTAGGGCTGAGCCTACACGGTGTTTTTCGTTTCCGTGTTGCGTTCGTTTTCCCCCGTTTGGTCTTCCATGCACATCTGCGGCAAAACGGAGTCGAAGCGAAAACGGCCCACGAAATGTCGCCAAAACACCGTTTAGGTCCAGCCCTGACCTGAAGCAGCTGTGCGATGACGACCACGACCTGGAACGTCTGCCAGCCCTTTGCGGCCGAGTGGATGGGGTCGAACTGGCCAGCCGCGACCCTCAGGCAGAGGTCGATGATGAAGAGCGCGCAGGAGATGTCCAGAAGCACTGTGAAAAACACGGTGTCGTTGATGCCATCTGGGGTGCTGTGCAAGCTAGAGGTTGCACGATGCGCTGCATCCTGCATCTCCCACACGACAAGCACGGCGTCCAGAAGCATCATCATGGCCCTGACAATCTCGAACTCGGCACGCCTCACCAGCCTTGGTATGAAATCGGTCGAGGCCTGTCTTGTCGGAGCGAAGGTGTGGCTTAGCCTCGCTGATACACGACGCGTGATCTCGGTCGGAGTGCGCGTCTGCCTTTCCTCTACCAAGGTATGCATCCAATTTGGAGTATTGCTCTCTGTCATAAAGGAGTTGCGTTCCCTCTTCAATCTTCTCATGGAAATCGGCATGTCCATACTCCCCAGGCTTATCCTCGAAGCCACGCTCGTCCTCTGATTAGGCAGCTGAATAGGACGTAAGAGATGTTGCTCCGTCTCGGCACTGCCCCGAGAGACCCTAGGCGTCTGTTGGATGCCTACAGGGTGAAACAGAAGGTCTTGTCCCTTGTCGGTGGATGCCAGCGTTGGAGGGCCAGGGCGTTGAGGCAAGCTGGTGGGCTTCAGCCAGATCTCCCTGTGCTTGTCAAAGACGGCCTCGACGTCGAGCCTAAGGTTCTCAAGGGACTGGCACGCGCGGAATGTGTCTGCAGCTGCAAAGGAAACACCTCCGTAAAAACTGGACCTGGCCTCTGGCGGACCTGCCGCGTCCACCATGCCCTGGCCTACACGCCAGCTTGCTGATGCAGGCTGGCCGAAACTATATTGAGGCAATTTTGAGCCAAAATGGGTACGGAGAGGCCTCTAGACAGATCTGAAGGCGGCGTTGGCCGCTCGGGGCTTGACGCCTTCCGGAGGGCCTCTTGAGCTTTCCGGTGCACCCGTAGGAACGCCCCCCCCAGACGGGAGCCCAGTCGGGGCCACAGGGCTGGCCTAGGTGACAGCGGAGCCTTCTGGAGCCACCTGGGCGCCATCTGGGGGGCGGCGTAGGCTGCTCCGTGCTGGACGCTTCCCGCAGAGCCTCAAGAGTCTCCCGGTGTAGGTACAGGTAGAGCATTAAGGATCGACCACAGAATGGATCTGACCCAAACTTGACTTACCCTACGGACACTATACGCAGTGCTCATGCGACGAGAAAATCAAGTTTAGGGCGAATCCATGAATCAACGAATCAAGTTTCAATGAATTAGGGGTGGATCAATGGATAAATGAATCGATGAATCAATGAATCAATGAATCTTAGGGTGAAACAATGCATCAATGAACTCTAGGGTGAATCAATGAATCAATCATGTCATCGCCGCTCCCGGGCCGCTGGGGTCCCACCCTCGGCGGCGGGGCCCTCCCGCCGCAGGGCGAGCGTGTGCCGCACGAGCGGGCCCCAGCACGGCAGCGCAGAGGCAGAGGCCTCTGATGATGGGCCTGTTCTCCACCACCACCACCACCACCACCATAAGCAGGAGGGGGAGGGGGTCCTTCTCCTCCTCCTCCTCCTCCTCCTCCTCCTCCTCCTCCTCCTCCTCCTCCTCCTCCACAATTGCTCAATATGAATGTATACTCTCCCTCTTCCCCTGATGACGGCTTGAATGTATCCGACCCCCCCCCGCGTACTGTTTTTTAACACACAGGTTTCCCCGGAGTTGGGTTTTCGCTTGCATTTGTTCCCGAAATGCTGCTCTCGCTGAGGCGCCGGCCTTATTTTCGGGCCCCGCTCGTTCCGAATCGTGCTTCCGCTGCAGCGCTGGCCTCATTTCCGCCAGCGCCCGGGCTGCACGCCCGAGCCTGCGCTTGGGCCGGCGCTCGGGCCGGGTCCGGAGCCCGTTCCGGCAGCCGCCGGAAAATCGAGTTCCGAGCCGGCGCCGAAAAAAGGCCATTCCAATACACATTGTTCTTTGGAAAATGTTGAATTTCTGCTTCCTGCGCCCGGGAGGCCTCCCGGGCCGATTCCGACGCCCAGGCCGGCGCCCGAGCCAGCGCCCGGGCCGGACGCCCGAGCCGGCGCCTGGGCCGGCGCCCGGGCCGGGTCCGGAGCCCGTTCCGGCAGCCGCCGGAAAAAAATCGAGTTCCGAGCCGGCGCCGAAAAAAGGCCATTCCAATACATATTTCTTTTGAAAATGCTGAAGTTCTGCTTCTGGCGCCTGGGAAGCCTCCCGGGCCGATTCCCGCGTGGTTCGGCTCGTTTCGAATCGTGCTCCCGCTGCAGCGCTGGCCTCATTTCCGCGCTTCCGCTCTTTTCGACTCGTGCTCCCGCTGCAGCGCTGGCGTCATTTCCCGTGCCATGCCACGGCATGCAATGCAATGCCAGGTTGATACTACGCTTCGCGGTGCTCTTCTACGCCATGCCATGCCGTCCTCTACAATGCATCGCGTACCCTTTCGGGATCATTGCCCTGCTCGACATCCGACTGTGCGAGTAGAGAGGGGATCTGCGCCATGGTAAGGGATGGGAGGGAGGGGTAGGATGTCAGATATGACGCGAGCGCACCTAGCTTGCCCTCCTCCTCCTCCTCCTCCTCCTCCTCCTCCTCCTCCTCCTCCTTCCTCCTTCTCCTCCTCCTCCTCCTCCTCCTCATCATCATCATCATCATCATCCTCCTCCTACCCCTCCTCCTCTTCCTACCCTCCTCCTCCTCCTCCTCCTCCTCCTCCTCCTCCTCTTCTTCCTCCTCATCCTCCTCCTCCTCCCCCCTCCAACTTATTGTGGTGGTGGTGGAAAACAAACCCATCATCTTAACCGGAATCGGAGTAGACGGGGTCGCCGGATCGCCGCATCCCCGACGCATCGGCGATGCATTAGCGATGCAGTGGCGATGCACCAGCGACGTCGGCGGTGTATCGGCGCCGCCGGCGCGGAGGAAGTCGGGCCCCACATCGAGCCGCACCGCCGATGCATCGAAAATGCGGCGCGTTCCTCCGACCTCATCTACTCCGACCCCATCTGGGAGGCCTAGCAGAGGCCAGGGTGAGAAACTGCTCCTCCGCGTGTCGCAACGGCGGCCGTTTTGGCCGTTCTGGCCGGTGTCGGCCTGCAGGGGCCCTCGTCAGGCCCTGGGACCGTCCAAAACTACACAGGGTGACAAGCGGGCCCTGGGGAGAGGGTCCGGACGCCCGGGAACCCGTATTGCATTTGTTGGGTACTTCTGTCGGGAACTTGTGCTTCGCGCTGCGCGGCGGCCGCCCCTGCGCCGAGCCATGCCCTGCAAGCTGGTAGCGTGTCGGTCGACTCCGCGGGGCGGCCTGGGAGAGGCTCGGGACGTCGACGCTCGGGGACCAGAAAGCAGCCAGCGTGTCGCGCCGCAGCGCGGTGGGCCCGAACTGGCGGCGCGGCACGCTGGGCAAACCTTCCTGGCCGCACAGCAGACACGCTAAGACGTCTTGCCGTGAGAGGCGAGCACGCTCGTCGTCGAGCGCTGAGCTTCCCGAGGTGCCCCAGGGCGTCTGTGGGCCCCCCGCGGGGCCCTCGGGGGGTGAGAAGCTCCTGCGGAGCACCTGCTGGCGGGACGGTGTCTTACCTGCTGTGCCCACAGTACGACTGACCCGCGACCTCGAACGCTGATGCGCGTTTCTGAATTTTCGGCGACAATGGGCATTATAGGCGGGGGTAGAGGGGCCAAGGGGGGGGTATAATGTAACGCCTCCCCCCCGCCGTGCGCACGGCGGCAGTGCCCAGAGCGCACTGGGGGGGGGGAGGGGCGTTTCGTTTCTTTGGGGGGGGAAGGGGGGGCCGGGGCTATAATGCCCACTATGCCCCAAGCAATCAAGAAACACGCTCCTGGTGTGCCCTGTGTACGGCTGACCCGCGACCTCGAACGCTGTCTCACCTCGTGGAGTGCAGGCGGTCGCGCGTCCGCTCCGCTCGTGGATCGCTCTTCGCCGCTAGCCCCGAGGCCTGAGGAAGCGGACGCGGAGGCGAGCGGGCCGTCGCGACTCCGCTTCGCGGCGCCTGATGGTCCAGGCCGGCAACCATATCCTGCAAAGGTTTTTGAAACATTGGATATCGAAACAGAGTTAATGGTTTCACTTCAGATCCGCGCTTTACAAAAATAGTAAATAATGTTTCACTTCAGGTTTAGAATAAAAATACGAAATAACTCATCAAACTAATATCTTTATATATAAATATATGTGTGTAATATGTGTTCCTTGAGCTCCCCGTGCAAAAGTTCTCTTCTAAGCTCGAAGGCGCGTCCTGGTCAGGAGTCCCCAGCCGGGAGCCCGCTGCCGCGACGAGCGGCCTCCCGGGGACCCAGGGGGGGAGCCCGTGCACGCCCGCAGCCCTGGCCCTCCAAGCTCGCCTCGGCGCCTCCTCCTCGAGCGTAGCTGCGAGCCGAGTCTCTCCCACATCGGCTGCGCGCCGACGGGCGGGCGACCTGGTGTCGCACGCAGCGCATTACCTCCCTGGCGCGGCCGTCTGCCACGGGCGAAGGGGGGCCTCGCCTCGGCTCCTCCTCCTCCTCCTCCCTCCTGCCTCGCTCTGGGTGGCCCAAGAGGGGGTCCAGCTGAAAGGGGGTGGCGCAGTAGATTTGGGACAATTGTATCGCAAATGTACTGCGCTGGAGAATTCGATTGCGTTGCACTGCGCACAAACATACAGCAATACATGTGCGCCCCGAGATGTAGTGCACGCCCCACATGTATTGCAACCCCACAATTCTTTTGCACCGAATATATTGCACCACCCCCTTGTCGCTGGACCCCCTTTTGGGTCAACCCGACTCGCGCGCCGTGGTCACGATGGCGTCCTGGGAGGCCAAAAAAATTCCAAGAACGTCACAAAACCTCGGTTCTCGAACCTCGCCCTCCATCTCCCCCTCCACCTCCTCCTCCACCATCAAGTACACTATCTGAACACTACCCTCCTCTCTCCCCTGATGACGTCCAGGAGATGTCCGGCCCCTCTCCCCCCCACAGGATTCCCCGAAGTTGGGTTTTCGCTTGGGTGTTGTTCAAAATGCTGCTCCCGCTGAAGCGCTGGCCTCATGTTCGGGCTTCCGCTTATTCCGAATCGTGCTCCCGCTGAAACGTTGGCCTCATTTCCGCGCTTCCGCTCGTTCCGACTCGTGCTCCCGCTGCAACGCTGGCCTCGTTCTGCGCTTCCGCTCGTTCCGAATCGTGCTCCCGCCGCAGCGCTGGCGTCACTATTTTCAGTGCCATGCTACGGCATGCAATGCAACTCTATGTGGTGTGCCGCTTTGTGATGCCCTGCCCCAAACTCTAGAAAATGGCCCCCCGAAAAGACCATCGGAAGTGATTACACATTCGGCGCCGATTCGCTGATTTTGGGGCCGCAGAAGCCCCCCCCCACGTTGGGGCGTCGTTGCTTTCAGGAAGTATCAAGTGGGAGCCCCGTTTCTGCTTTGAGAAGGCGATGTTGAAAGCAGAGCCAGCAGGTGCTCTCCATCAGCCCCGCCCTATGTGGAACTTTTCGGGGAGCCAAAGGAGCTGGACATGGAGCCACGACTCCAAACCAGCCCAGACCTCTCGAAGACGATCCACTTACCCTCCCAAGGAACCCGTCGACATGCAATGACCTGTTGTGCACTGTTGTGTTATGTGCCGCTGTGCGATGCCATTATTTGCGTTGCAAGGAATCGTGGTGCAATTCTTCACTACGCGAAGCCACGCCATGCTATTGCATGCTGCGCTCTGCCGTGCTCCCCCACGCCCTGCCACGCCGTGCTATACGATGCATCGCGCACCCCCTCGCGATCATTACCCTGCTCGACATCCGACTGTACGAAAACAGAGGATATCTACGCCATGGTATAGGATGAGAGAGAAGTATAGGACGTCAGATATGACGCGGGCGCACCTAGCTTGCCATTTCTCCC